GTGTATTATCGTAAAACTCTCCCAACTCCCCAAACCACCAGTCCTACCAATAGTGCACCTCTCATTTTTGAGCGTGGCGCTGGGACACGCCGCTGACGTTGTGCCTCAGTTGGAAGAACGTGTGTTGCTCCTGGATTGACAGCCTAACACAGGCTCTGTCTGCAGCTAGTCCTTGTTGCAGAAGGCACCGTGCAGATCCCGATTCGGTTGCTGGGAGAGTGCATCGGGAAAGTGTCACCATTTGCTTGCTGAGCTCGGGGATCCCAGATCGGATTCGGATCGGTTGCTGGGAGAGTGCATCAGGAAAGTGTCACCATTTGCTTGCTGAGCTCTTAACCACTTTCTGAAGTATCTGCTGTTTGAGACAGGACCATGAGTTTAAAGGAACCTTTAATCTGCTCTGGTGCAGCTGTGTGTATGCTTGAGGGAATCTGGTTTGCGTTGGCTGGTGCTGACATATGCTGGGGGAAAAAAGTGTAATGATTATTGTGCTGTCACATTAAACTAGTGACATGTAATCTCCTAGGTCGCTACAACTATGCAATGGGATATTAAAAAAAAAGAGGAGTACTTGTGTTTTGTTTTATTTTGAACACAGACTCTGTGTGATGTTCTGTAGTATTAGTATTTAGCTGCTGAAATGTTCTGAAGAGCTGCGCTCGGTGGGATGCCGTCACACATCCTATAGCAGGCTATAGGAGAGCTGAAGAAGAGGTGGCCAAAAGACTACTACCTAGCTCTTTTTTTCTCAGTAAATAGACTCTGTATATGACATTGAGTGAAATAAATTTGACTGTGTGGCTCACCTCATTTAAATATGCCCTTGTTCTGGTCCCATTCTTGCGTAGGCAAAACTGTCGGAGTTTTGCAATCCTTCTGCCAAAATCCTATAGTTTTAATTTTCATTCTGAGTAGTGTGGAACATAATTTTCAGTTTTGAGTCTCATTAAATAAAATGAAGATTGATACTAACAGATAGCAAAAGCTCTGTCTTCCTCTCGGGGAGAGTCTTACAGCAAGTCCCCTGATCTGCGGAGGAAGTCGGGCTCCACTTCTGTCACGTGGGAGCCGGACCACGTTGCTGACGGGGATGTGGGCTCCAGTGTGGGAGGGAGCTGTGCAAACGCTGAGCTTTGGCTTTTAGCCTTTAGTGTCACGATGAGTTCTTAGGAGACTTCCTTACATATTGAAGGAATCAAGGACAGCAGAATTAAAGGCAATAACAAATCTAACAGGTTTTATCTTTCATTAGACTGAAATATTAGAAATATTAGAATTCAGAAGAGATCAAATTTCATGATACATGTCATCTTTATGTGATAAACGCATATAAATGATAACTTGCTATGTCAATAATAGCTCATGAGATACTGAACAGCAGCTATACTTGTTAATTGGCAGGTCTGGATTACTTGGCGTGCAGGGGAGAACAGCTCCCCTGGCCTCTGGCTGGTTTCAGCTAATGTTGAATTAAGACTTGAAATACTGAGGAAATTGCAGGGGATGGGAAGGAGGCAGGTATTTTGCTGTTAGGTTTTAAAAATGTAAATCAGGTGACTAGGAGAACTATAATTTCTTAGCTTTACTTCAATTTCCCCCCCTCCAATGAAGAAGTATATCAATAAGACAAATTCATAGATCATTAACTAATTCTTCACATCAGGGAAATTATGGAGAACTTACATTTTTGTCAAATATCATCTGTAGTAAAATTTTAGGTTTGATTCACAAAGCCAGCAATGTTGAGGTAGTGCATTCCTGTCTGTGACTTCCTTGATACTACACAGTCCTTTTTTGAAAAGTAGAACGATGCAAACTGTAGTCACCCATAGGAAATGAGTTGAGAATTTCTTAAACTAACATGTCTCAATGATTTGAGGAATCCTTATTTGACAGTTTTCATATCTAGCTGTGTACCATGGAAAACCAGTTTTTAGCCCTCGCCTTCTTACATTTTTAATGATGTGCAAGGTAACAGTAATTCATTATTGATCAAGTTTTCAGCTGACCGAGAGGTGTGCAAGAGAAAAGTTTAAAAAACAAGAGTGACAGCAGAGAGAGATGTGTGTACCCGTGTAAAGCTGGTGCAGTCCCAGATGAAGGAACAAAAGCCATCAGTCGCGTTTGTGGGACGTCTCTTGGGAAGCAGTTTGGGTAATTTGCTGCATGCTTGCAATACGACTGTCTAAACTGAAGATCTAATACAGTTCCTGTATCTGTGAGCATCCGAACAAGGATATTGAGGATTGGGGAATACTCAGCATTTTTGCCTTTGGTGCTGGCATGATAGGCATTAAGTAGCATGTGTGGTCTTGCTGTCATCAACTCGAGGATGTGTTCGGTCGGAAGATTAAACTGTAGGACCAGAAAACCGGTCTTAGGGCAAGTGGCTCAGATAACTTGATGTGTTTAGTTCATAAATACCAGCCCGGTGGAGAGCTTTCCAGTCCAGCAGACAAAGTTTGATGGTTGAAACCCGAAATAGTCCATGTCCAGGCTGTAGATGGTATGCAAAAACTTAATGGTCATATTGGATAGCAGCAGGACAAAATTTGGTGAAGCTCTATGGCCTATCGTGTGTGAGAGCTGAGAGCCAGTAATTGAAGTGATCTCCTCCGGCCTGAACCTTCGAGTCCCTGCCAAGCAGTCTGCATATCAAAGACCTTTGGCAGACTACATCCATTCCTTCAGGCTCCAACATAACAGTAGCAGTGGCAGTTATTGCTTATATGGAAAAGGAATATCCGTAAGGAATACGATCTTTTTTTGTACTTCAGAAATGAAGCTGATCTTCTGGAAACTGTGCAATCTCCTTTATCTGAACAGCTTAGCTGCTTGTGGATAAAAGTGTGGATAGTGGAGGTTCCCTGGCCTCACCAAGATAGAGTGTGTGCTTGGTCTCTGTCCTGGTTTTGGCTGGGATAGAGTTAATTTTCTTCCTAGTAGCTGGTATAGTGCTGTGTTTTGGATTTAGTACCAGAATAATGTTGATAACACACACCGATGTTTTAGTTGTTGTTAAGTAGTGCTCACACTAGTCAAGGACTTTTCA